CCCCAAAACCCCAAAACCCCAAAACCCCAAAACCCCTTTAAGTTTGATTATTATAGAAGAATTGGAAATAAATGAGCAAAAAATATCGAAACGAAAGCCGAACCTATAAAGCAATACCTTTACTCAACAAGAAGAACAAAAGTGTTCATTCGACATTGAATTCCTTGTATAATAATACTTCAGATAAAGTGGAGAACACTGATTCGAATGTTTTGGGAATAAAACTGTTGTCAAAGAGCCCAGCATTCCAAAACCTAAAGCTTGGCAACAGAAGCAGTAAAAATAGCAACTTGAAAACCTTTTATAATACGAATATTAAGGGCGTTAATATGACTGCAAGAGTTTCAAAGCCTAGTTCAGAAGTTACTAGTCGGATAACAATGGATAAGATAAAATCTGACTACAACTTCTCCATAACTGCTAGGAAGGACCAAGGAAGAATGACTGTTACAGGTTTTAATGATAAATACTCAATGAAAATGACAAGAGAACGTTCAACGCCTGTTATTACTACAAAGGACTCTTATATGAGTAAGCTATGAATTCAACAATATAGAAAACCCTAATATCTGGAAAGGAAGTCTTGATAACTTTAACTTAAAGAAGAAGCCCTTTAAGGATGTTGAAGTTCCTAAATTCACCGTAAACAATCACAGAAGGCCATCAATTCGAGATCAGGATATAATAACTCGCTATACAATGATTAGGAATAATAATTCACAAATGGCAAAGGAAAACCAGAAGAAAGCTGGTAAGGACGGAGCCTTACTCTATATAGACAAAAATGAAAAGAAAGGCAAAAATTATAGTCTGAAGGATGACCCTAATCTTCAGAATTTGTCAAAAGCCATTAATTTTAAATCAAAAGTAGCTTTGTCACTAAAATTATAGGATATCGAGAATTATCTATGGAAGGGTTCAAGTAGCGCCATCCCTTCTCTAGAGTTATTGAAGAGAAGAATGTTAGCAAATCATGAGAGTTTGGTGAATGTTCCATCCTCTATGGTTTCAACTTTTGACGATCTGAAGGACTTTAGAGAGTTTTGATATGAAAATTCTAAAGAAACATGAAGAGCAATGTTAGAATTTCAAACCTCCTTCCTAGTCTTTGTTGAAAAACAAATGACTACTCACTCTAAACTTGGACAGGAAAATGAGGTAAACTATAAGTAACATTAAATAGGATTTGAAAGCTGAAAACGAAAGGCTAAAAGCTCTTCTGAAAGAATCTGGATAAACTGCATAAATATGAAAATTCAATTATTTTCTATAAACTTGGGGTTTTGGGGTTTTGGGGTTTTGGGGTTTTGGGG